GGTGTGGGTGAGTGGGAGGGGAGGAACGCGAGCCATATGTCGTGTTTGAATAAATAGTCGGTTGGGTGCCACGCCTTTCACAGGCTCGACTTCGTGCAATCGGCTTTAGCGTGTGCACTATCGTTTAAGTGAAAATCAATATTTGTGGAAATGGACGCAAATTTGATCGTGCTAGTGGCACCGAAAAGTTCATTAAGTCGCGTATGTCTTTGGATGACGCTATATTAGTCGCAAGGAATTAGATTAACTCTTGCACTATTCATTCTGCACCTATCAAACCGAGCTCTTTAAATGGTGTGGCTCAACCGACCATTTTCTCCGATAATTTTGTCTTGCTGAATTAGTTTTCTAGCCATTGAAGTGTCGACAGATCAGAGGCTGGTTGGCAGGCACACATTTAGCTGTCATAGTCACGATCAGTCCACTTGAACAATAGTCCGACGATAATTCACCATTCACACCTAATCAAAAATCAGTGCCTGATTCGAATTTAACCTATAATTTACGTGATTCCCCTGTTTGAGGGCCATGTTACAGTATTACATTCCTCGCTCATTTGATTTTCGTGAATTCCAGGAAACTATTTACAATAACGAATCTCATTTGAAGTCCAACCAAAAAGTAGGCAGCTAAACACCATGAATTGAAGTCATTAGGAGCAGCCATACAGTAATAACTCCATCGTGAAATGAAAGAAAGCAGCATTAGGCATTTAAATATAAATATCCGATGACTGCAGATCAACTGAGATTCGCATTTGACCCCAATTTTTCGAGAGTCGTTTCCTTTGAATGCCAGTCTTCTCTAGTAGACCGCTAAAGTCCACAGCTAAGATGGCTCATTTGAGGAACCATTCAATTGTATGCGAAAGCTTACGTTTCTAAATAAATATGGACATTTACGAAATGAAATCACAATAACTTTTGCATGTTTATTCTGAAATATCCCTGACTCCGTGTTTATTTTGAATGTGTAATGGTGACAGGGTGATTTCTCTTTTCACCGCCTTTATGCGGTCTCTTATGTTGTTCCATTTGCCTGATTCTTAATTTTCGATTAACGAAGATGCTACATTCTGTACCTGTTTAAATGCTATCCCTTAAATTATTTATCAGTGCTCTCGCCTTAATACAATGTTTTTAAACACCTCGGCTAAGCGTCTAGTCATAAAAAATCATCCATCCAGAAAATAGTATTTTTTACACCTTAAATGCCACCTTTGCATTTTGATCATCTATTGGCCTGTGTAGTCACAGGAATAAGCGTCTGGTTAGCTTAATACATCTGGTCCAAATTCCACAAGGCCGTACTTATAATGTAGTTAGTGAGGTTTGCAATATGAAAGGAAATTTGTAATTGACTTCACCAAGGCATTTCGATATTCATAAATTGGGCAAAGTGGATTGCCATGAATCCCTCTACGTTCGGAGTTTCATGGACTTCCTATGTAGAACACTGCATAGTGCTAGAACAGCATGCCCACCTTTAACCCTGGAATACCAATTTAGTAACTCTTGCCTCAAGATTTTCGGTAGCAGGCGTTCTCGAATTTGAACTTAGAGAGCCACTAGATATTGTGCTGCTGAACTAAGTGACAGCTTATAACCAAAACCACCTCGCTTGGAGCCTCACACGAGTGATTGCGGAAAATTTAATATCACTGGCTCAAAGCATACCATTTCACCTCAAGTTCATAACATTTGATGGTAGTCACCGTGATTCCAACCCTTCATCCCATGACCACTCGGTTCAATAAACTCAACGCCTCGATGATTATCACGTGTCCAGGTAACTAGGGTTACTATGTCCCTACGTGACTGGGGGTAAAATTCACCATAGCAACTCGCGACCACGATCTGATTTCGAATCAGTTGACTTCACCCCATAACTAGGTAGCAGTCACTGCGTGGCAGGAGTGAATTCCCATCACTATAACAACAAAAATGATTGACACTTGATTTATACTACTGTTGTTCAAATTGACGTGGTTAATCAATAAATCGAGCTAATTGTAAGCACTTCTGTTGGCAACAATGGCCGACATCCGGTGATGTGTGAACTTGGCCTGACACCAAACGTTTATGTCAATGCTGCACTTATGCTAGACGCGAAGCCGAACTTTTTGGCATCATCGATCAAGCAATGAAATGTGATGGATCTTATGTCTGCTGGTAAATAACTACTTAAAAACAATTGAGGCGATGTATTAATTAAACAGCATGGTAATGCAAGATTCGTGCAGCCGGTCTAGATAGAAAAAGGACATGCTAAGTACGACTTGACTCATACACAACGATCACAAATATGAATAATTAACCGAAGTTATGCTGCTAATCGAGTGTAAATGAATACTAGTCACGAACCAAAATTTGCTGTCACCCAAACAAGCTTCTAATTTCAACAATGAAAGCAACTACACAACCTGAAGGGACCAGGGTTGAAGATAGAAAGGAACTTTTTAATTGCAACCTCAGGTTTTTTATGCTGGTTCGCTCAAGTATGCAACAGCGCGTGTGTAATGTCCTATCGTTAAGGATGCTTTTAAAGGCGTGGATAATAAAATTAACCTTGTGCCTGAACCCAGTGGGACAGTTTTGTTATAATTTTAAATTTGAAGGATCTAAAGGTTTCCAGATGTTGAAATGAAAGTCGCTAGTAATAATGCAACATTCCAAATTGGTAGGATGTGTCTCCGATTTACAATAGTACAACAAACTAGAAAGTCATTTGATGTAATCTTAATGTTTTGTTCCTTTTGTAGGTTGGATCTCTTTTGAACTGCTAAATGAATCGACTTCAAAACGTAAAACTGGCAAATTCTGAATTTATTTGGTTGACCGGTTCCCTACTTAAGCACACACACACTTACACCATGGCCAAAATTAATCCCATGAACCTGCATTTGCCAATATATATAATGTACCGAATCACTAGTCTATAGTCGTTAATTGCATTTTTTAATGATAAATCACGTTTCATCCATCAAAAAGTCAACTAACTTCGGTTGGGAAGGTTTGTCAAGATGATTTGCTACTAAAACGAATCTTCATCACAAACCCCCAGACATTAGCTAAACTGGGCTTTCAATCTTTCACCGGAGGTGTTCTGATTTCCGCGGTGTCTCAAAGTATGAAATTGACAGCCCAATCAGTCCTTTCTATTCTCGGTATTTAAAGCCAACATGGTAAATCTTTTAGGAATTGAATATTAGTTAGTGGTAGTGACTATCTGTTACCTGGGAGACTTAAATTAGGCCACAGTCGAACATAAAGCTTGATTTTAGGGCTATTGGTCTTTTAACTCACTAGAATGCGTATTTAATTCTGCAATGCTACAACTTATTTTGAGAAGCACAGAAGGCATCCATAAATTGGGTCAAAACAAATTATTTCTCTAGCCCTACGGGAAATTTCGATCTAAATAAGCATATCCATATGTTACACAAGGCTTTCTAAAGTCTGAATGGTCGATTTTTACTCATTAATTGGCATTTTTTCATAAAATGGATGAACTATGTGAAGTTAAAATCGAGTTGAAGACCAGTGAAATATAAATTCAAGCCATAAATTCATCAATGGCAAAAGAACTGAATAAAAGTACCAGATTCCTTATCCAGACATGCTCCGAAAGGTAATCATCAAGTGCCTTTGTGAATTTTCAAGTCACGAAAGACGAAATAATTCTAATCGATTTGAACACTTTAAAGGCTCCACTGAAAGTTTTTGCTAAATTTACCAATCGAAAATCAAGTATTAATCCGCCGACTGGGTTCACACCGACGTCGCTAAGCCGAATTCGGTCAAACAGAAATCAATGTTTATCGATCGTGGCAATGTCACTTTAAGTATCGTGTCGTCTAGACCTATATAAGTTTTCGACAGCTTGCGAGACGACACACCAGGACGATGAGACCGGACACCCGGTGATGCTTCACTGAACCAATTCGTTCTTGCCAGGAATAATTTATTTATTAAATTTGTTGCATTATGCAAGAGGTTTAAACTAGCCTAGCAGTAAGAGGAATCGAGTCTCACGTGCAACACATTTTTTTCAACTCGTCTTAGTTAGATTTGTACTCTGCAATAATATTTCTTAATAGGACTTAGATAATTCCCTTTAGCTTTCCTCCAGCGCCTTGTTTTTATTGCCCATTTTGGTCTAAAACAATTCCTTTCTATTTCGCTTACATCAGTTACTGGTTGATGCTGCTTGTACAATAGGTAGGCATTAAAGAAATCACCTCGGCTTATATCTTTGTGGCAGTTACAATTTGAATGCGGCGTTATTGGGGTTAAGGGATCCAGCATAACACTTCAACAGGCCAGTAAAAGGGCATTTTTTTCATTGTGGTTGTTCTTAATTAAAGGATATGTAATATTGCTCAAGTTAGTCCTACCTCTCCAACGACAGTAAAATTCAAACCCTAAAAAGAGCATACTGACTTATAAACAAACCATATGAAATCACATAGTACGAAACGTCCCTTAAATTAGGCACGGTTCCGAATTTCTTGAAGTTGGTTCAGACCGTGTGGGTCATTAATGTTGTAGAAGGGATTTTGGGCCATGAGGTTAGAAAAGCTACATTTGCATGAAAGGCTTTCTGCTTCAGTCACGGTGAAAATAATATCAAGTGACATAAGAATTTGCTAGCGTTGGTGGGGAAAAGGCAAACATAGAACCTCTCTCGAGCATTATTTCGATTTTCTCACCTAAAAATCCGTTAAAGTCCCGCATCTCGCCTAAATTCTTGTGATTCATCGAAATCCGACAGTCTATACAGAACTGACATGTTCGCGTCTTATCGAAAAGAGACATTCAAGAATCATTAACAGCATTTTCTAGTTGTCCATACTTCACACTTTTAATCAGATTGTCACTTTACCGGTTTACATATACTGTTGCCACTTAGAAACGGGTAAGCTTTAATTGGAGCTAAAAAAACCACCACGCCCCAGTGTTTTGGCATACTGATGCCAAAAAGTTTCCCCATTTGTGCACTTAGTAGAACACGGAATAGGGAGTCTGGTGAACCGATTGAATCAGCGACCAACCCGGTGCGTCAGGGGAACAAAGCCCAGTCGCGCGCTGGCGTCTTTGTGAGCGCCGTGTGTGGGTGCACGGAAAGTGGAACACATGTAAGCAGAGGAGGGCTCCCGGAAGGGCCGATTTATTGGAAACCTGAGCGGGGACGCCTTCGTGGCCAGGGGCTGAAACAGATCCCAGCGCTTCCGCCCATGCCTCGCCCCCGTCTCCTCCTACCATCTGCATAAATGCCAATTAAAAATGTGACTCTTCGTCGCAAAGCCATGTGTGGTTATTCTCGATTATTGTGCAATGAACTCTAATTGGGTTGCAGCTTGAAATGATTTTTCACAAGTTCCGTGCTTATTAACTGCAGCCTTTTTTCGCCTTCGTCACCTGAATTTTCCGGGAGGGGCAGAGAATACCTAGCTCTTAATAGGGGCATTTTAAATGCCGACAGTTATGACAAAGTAGTAATGTAGAGCTGATTGTCCCCTCGTCACCGCCGGTTTGCGTGCTCTGGGTAGAGCCCTATACCCCATATCCACAACCCTTCCACTTGAAACTGATTTACTATTGGTGCTTTTTTACTGGAGGAGTGTGTGTGCACATGCACACATGGTGATTGTTCTATTGACGCAGGAATCAAAGGTGCATTCAGGGAGATATCTCAGGAGTCTTAATTTCGTCTTGGTCTGATCATGAAGACCGGCCTTTGTTCAGCACAGAATTCGTGAGGAGGGGTGACGCAAACAACTAACGGCAATATTTGAATTTACATATTTACAATAAAGTTCAAAATTAACACTGGAGCCATTTTTTTTACACCTGAATTGCAGATGGGTTGTTCTTTTATTGCTTTCAAATCACCTTTCTTAATCATCACGAAGATGAATTCCAAAGGGCTGAGTTTTTATGGAGACAATTTTTTTTAATTACATGCCACAACAATATGGTCGATTAACGAAATGCCGTCAGTTAACCTTAGCAGATCTGCTTCCAAGGAAATACAGGTCTCTCTGCAGTGACCTTCACCCAGCGTCCTCGCGAAACCCCATCAACTCGTACGATTTCTGATAGTTGACTTGCCTACGTGGCCTTTGGTTGCACTAAAATCCTGCCTTGAGCAATCGCCAGGCTTTATCCGTCCCAAGCCAAACAAACGTCAATGTAAGAGTCAGTGTTTTGAAAAGTTATGGTCAAAATGCCGATGTTCAGCTTAAAACAACAAGCGCATGTTTTGGTCAACACTAAAACCATAGCTTTTTACACAATGGGTAAGAAAACATCCGGTGTGAAAAGTGCAGAGCTCAAAATCACCCAATCAGAAAAGCATGCGGATTGTCAGAACTTCCATGCGTCGTTAGCAGAGATCATTTCGAATTGCTGAAATTCGAGAAAAAATGTCCCCATAAAAATATGTTGAGGCTGAAAAATAATAACAAAAATAATTTGAAGTTGGTAATTTTCCAAGATTCAATAGACGAGCTTTGTAAGGAAAAAAATTGAAACTGAGCTTGATTTCTTACAGGGTCATGTTTTTACTCTCTGCCTTTAAACACTCAAAGGTGTTAACTAAGTGAAATGCTTAGTTGGTCATTGTAACTGCTGGAAATAAACATCATTCTTGCTAAAACGGCTGTTATCAGCTGATTTGCGATTAGTCGACCCCACTAGACGAGTGTAAACTAAATACTTGGTGCTGTTTGTTCCAATTTAGCATGGATTTATCAATGCGTGACTGCTCTGGTTGATTTCCTTTCCTGTTCTCACAAGAAATTAAAAACCTCAGGCCTGCCACTGTGGAAAAACGGCCAAGTTTTCTTGCCCCACGAAAAACAGTTTGCTATAGTTAGCGTCAAGTAAGGTGAGAGGGGATAAAATTCACCTCATTGTCAAGTTTACTGCCGTTTCGTTTTCTAATCTTAAACACCAGGGACGGTAACTGTAGCTGCAACATGAAGATCGAGGATAGCAAATGCATTACGTCATGGTTTGGATGCGATTCATCCCCCACCCCCAATAATAAGCCCGAATGGTAATGAGGTGTGGTCTCACGCCTGAACATCACGTCGCATCGCCGCATCGCGGCTGGGGGCGACAATTTATGCACAGATGTGATCGATCGCGCGAACGTGCGTGTGGGAGATTGGGGGCCCTGTCGGATGAGTCATTCCCACCCTGTGAGGTTAAGACACACGACAGATGGTGTTGTGGGCACGGGGTGCTGCAAGGGCGATCGTGCTTCGTGTGGCACGACCCGGGAGGGGGGGACATTTAAACGACTTAACGCGCTGTCGATTAGGCTCATTCAATGTCACAACCCCCTCCACATTCATCGAATTTCGCTCGCTCATTTGTCGAACTGGAGGTGCTAGATTTATCAGAGACGCAAATGGCTGCGGCGAGAACACAGGACTTATTTCTACAACAAAAAAGCTCACACAGAATATGAGGTAGTCTGACTGCAGACACGTTTTTAAATGATATTTCTAATTAACTGAGGGCCTGAAAGAGGGTGGTACGTAGCAGAACAAAATTTGCTGCTCGGGAGTTGCATACTCCATCACATGTCCAAAAGCAAGAGGACGTTTACAAAAAAACAACTCAAAATCTGAAAAGGCGTGTCACCTGGGGTACGACATTTCCTAAACCCTTATCTAAAATAATTGTCATAAGAGTAATTCAAAACTACTGCAGTGACTGGTAATCAGCAGTCGAAAAGGTTTTTTTAACGGCTAAGTGGACAGATGTTTTAGTAAGTGTTCACAACGCCAGGTAAGCTCTACGGAACTACTCAACAGATGTTCGTGCACGAAGAGACCCCAAGACCGAATTTTGTAGTTGGAGACAAATCGAATTGCGAATGCGTGTGCCAAGGCCTCGTCATGCCGTAGAGGTGCACACCAACAATCGAAACACATAAACTAAAAAGATGGGTTATGAACTAACTGAGGCAAGTGTTCTTTGGCTGAGAGCTTAGCACAATTTTGAAGATATTACGACAGGCAAACTTAGTAAAAGGGATACAAAGGTTCGACGTGTTTAAATGGTTCAGGCTCCGAAAGTTTTACCGACTCTTCTTCAATTCTGCCTTGGTTAGTTCAAAAGTAGCAGAAATGCTACTGCGGAGGTAACTAGTAACAATGGTCAGAGGCATTTTCGAGTGAAGTGTAAATGCAGAGAGCTAAATCCACAAACTAAAAACACATGAGTGCGAAACGGGTAACTGGGTCCCTAATGCTAACTTGCAATTAAATCAAATTTCGCACTGTTTTCTGTCATCTGCGAGTAAATATGTGAGACACTATGTTTGAAATCAGCATTTTGCGTCCCACAAAAACACCTGCCGAACCACGAAGGTGTGTATTCGACGAAATAATTCGGCATTTCTGTTCCAGCTGTCTCCAGGTATGTTTTGCAAAACACCGAAGATGATGCCTCCACGTATTGACTCGATCGTATCTTCGAAGAGCGAGACTTGCCACAACTTGCTTGAACACCAATCCCACGATGCGCTAAATCCGTCAGATTTAGGAAAGCACATTTATCAACACCTTGAGGTGGCGCCCCATGACACTTATATTCAACCAAAAAAATATTGTTTTCACGCAGAGAATTCACTAATGTCCATTTACGCGTTACCATTCAATAAATTCAACTAGCGGAATCTGCATTCGATACCCTGGGCCAATCATTCATTCATCCGATACATTCCGAACCCTCTAGTGAAAGCTCCAATTTATCAACAACAAGTTAAGACAAGTTATCTTAATAAACATGAAGCAGGGTTGAGTCCATAAGGCAGTAGCTACGAAGAGTAAATACCAACTTTAGTGACAAGATTAGTCAGTTGTGAGAAATACAGTGATGCCTCAAGAATAAAGGAATCGTTGATACGTTAAATGGAAAGTGGATAAACCGAATGGCCATTTATTTGCACAAACCAGGTTGAGGTTTACCTGGCGCAGGAGTGTGCATGCGTTGTGGAAAGTCAATTTACAAGCACAGCCTCCATTTCTGCTGGAACGGGAGTTGTAAATGCAGACAGCATTATCTCATTCTTGGTGTTTTTGAGTGTCTCATTCTGGATAGCCAATGTGGTGACTAATTCAGGGCATGGCTAATGTGCATTGCGTGCCTGTGCTTTTTTTAGAATTGCATAAGTGACATGAAAAGCAATGCTTGTAGATTTAATCAGGCATTTTGACTGCACAGACCCATAGCTCCAAAATACATTTGCGAAACGGATCGAAAGACAAAAAAATGCATAATCAGGTTAAAAATAAGTTGCATAATCTCGTTGAAATCTTAGTAATGACCCGGTTGCATTTGCAGGGCGAAATTTCATCTCCTAGTTTGATACCGACTAGTAGTCTCCTTCTTGAGAGGAAGTTCCTACGATCGAAAAATGAAGCAAAGATAGAAGTCATTGAATGTGACAGCACAAATTAATCAAGTAAATCAGGTGTACGCCTGTTCTGCCTTCATTAAAACCAACATCCCATTAATAAAAGCTCAGAGACTTTAAAAAAATATCAGTAAGGCAGATCACAACAAATCGTGACTGATCATCAACTGACCGAACCCACTGGTGTGCATCTAGGTTTATGGGTTATGCGAATTTATGACAGGGTTTAAATCAAACCTGATGGAGACACACCCATGGCTTAGCTAAATCAGTCGTTGTGGGAGAATAAAATTTTGTGGGGGTTTTGGCATTTGCATGCGTGTGATCAGTCAATGGATATAACTGAGGCTCGCTAAGACACCACGAGGACTAAACTAGGTGAATTATACACTTGTAACACATACAGGCAAGGAATCGCACAGTTGGGTCATCGTACTTGCCTACATCACGATCCCTCAAATTTCAGTACACCAAGGTTCTGTAGATTTTGCTAGTACCACTGAGCCGCGCCTCACATATCTAATGTGAGGAGCCGCCGTAGGTCACCGCGTCAGGACATGTGCAGTTTTACCCACCATATGAGCCTCCATACCACTCACCCAATTTCATTTCCCATTAGAATTACATGAGATCGTCCATTTACTTCCGTAAACTCGCATTTTTGTCACTCGAGTAATCAAAGTGGCTTAGAGTTGTCAATGAGACGTTGAGATATTAGCGAAACAAACACAGCTTCAAATAATCGGTGGTGTGTACCCGAATCCAGAAAGCGGGTGAGAAGTAATCCTTTAAACTATCAGGAAATTTAAATATGCTTTCAAGCACTTAGAAGATAGCTTTGATTAACAAAAAGGAGACACCTGGATTAGTGCCTCCAAAGAGACTTATACATGCTGAGTCTGACTGACTACAACCGGGTTTGCCAAAGACATTCTGGTTGAATTTTGAGGAAACAGAGCACCATTTAAATGCTTGGTAAACATCAGCAATCATCTGTTGACCACCAGTGGAGAATACGCAGCTAGTGTGTTCGCTCTAGACCTGCCCAATAATGATTAATTTTGCTTTAGAAGAATGCACCGCATTTATGACGTTCACCGACCAGCCCTGTGGACATTATTTCAAGATTTACTTTAATGCTAGAAAACGTGGTATTTCCAACACGACAAGTCTCCACCCGGTTGAATTCTGTTAAAGTCTGTCGTGGTGGTGGATGGGTGACCACTCCCATTCTGGTTAGATAGTCGATTTTTGACCCCTACCCGAACACTGTTTGCCATATTTGATGATTGTGGGTCACGTTAAAACCAATCATAACCGCTGGCTTATCTTATTACCCCCTGCCCTGTCCTATGTCAGTGCCTGGTTTATGTACGCTTAGGAGCGGCAGGCTGGATGTCATAAAACGGCCAACATGAAGCATATGGATGGCATCAAGTGTGCATAATTAATCAACACCCCATTATGTAGAGAAACAGCTTACAATGCCTCGCTGTGTTCCTGCAACCACTTATTCACACTTACATATTTTGGGGAAATGTCAAAAGAAAAGGCTAAAAATTGAAAAATGTCGACCCCGAAGCCGATATCACTAAAAGATGTGCCACCTGTCCAATTTTCTGAAAGTGTTCCATGCGAGAGATTCGGTGACAAGTAATTTGCCAAAACATCATCGGAGAACTAAAGACTAGGTTAATATTCAAAAATTAAAAAAAATTAATTAAAAATTAAATTGAATTAAACTGAAGGTGCTTAAAACCACAGCCTTAATTGCCCCAACCAATTCTACCATTTTAAGGACCTTTTATTCGAGTCGCAATTATACCTCGGACATGCATCTGTGTCGGGCAGAATGGGCTTGGCTGCCATTTACGTAAAGCAAAGTTAGCGTTTCACAATTCCATTTACTTTCTGCTTACTTCCTCGAACGAGATTATCAGCGAAATTATCTAGTGCGAGTCATGCATGACTTGCTACGTATTCCTGGACATTTGAAATAGTCATAAGCTTTACCATTTTCGAGGAGCGAACTCCCTATTTATTGTCCCTCTAGTAATCAGGATCCCGACCTATCATTGGTTAATTTATCAGGATAATCAAAGGACAGAATGTACTTTAGGCACCACTAATAAATAGGCAAAAACCAACCTTGATTGCTGATTTTGTTATGTTAGTGTAAAATTTTGTTTTAGAACAATGTAATTGGCACTGCCGATGTCGTTGACCGGCTGCTTCGTCAGATTGCTTGCATCATGTAGTACTATCACCTAGCTTATTTACTGATAAGTAATGAGGCTCAGTTCTGATGACAAACTAGAGCCGCAAATGATAATTGTATCTAACTGGCTCCTGTGCTGGCTCCATGTGAGTGATTAAAATTATGCGAAACCATTTCTTTCGCCTTGAATTTCGAAATTTAGTATAACTGTGGACTTTGTGAAGCCAAGTTGAGAACAGTAGACGCTAATCGTACACCGAGATTGAACCTTCGACCCAATAGATAGTGTGCTTGGTCAAACCGCTTGTCTGGTTTTTTGACAGCTGTTCGTCATGTGAAGAGGCATGCAGCTCATGTTTAAATTGAGGTGTGAAAATAGTTTCAGTTTGATCAGATAAGAACGGCCCATTTCAGTCTAATTTTTACTGCCTCCAACGCTTGATGCGCCCACTTAGTTAAAAAAAAACACACTAGGAAGATGTTTGACCACACTTGCTAGCATGTTTCCCAAACAATAGCACCATTTAAAAGTTCTACATTGTGTACAGCTCCAACCCCAGTGTCCAAGCATCAAGTCCTAGTTTTGGGAATCTACATGAAGAAATTTTAATCCACTTGCAAACACTTACTGTCAATCCCCGCAATGTTTAATTGTCTACAAATGATTAAATCTACATTAATGACAGTAATGACGATCAGAAAATTACGCTGGCATCTAAACCGTTTGTCACTTCTATCTATAAAAAAAACCAAAATTTACTTATCTCATTCATTCACGAAACTTGAAATTTTATTCAGATTCCTTGTTCGCTAAAATCACTGGCAAATCAAGAATAAGAACTAATCTTCTAAAATTGATCCACTGAGATGCGTCAAAACAAAATCAGGACGAACACAAGGTCAAAGAGGTTAAACTAGAGAGAAGCTGTGTCATTGAAGGA